AAGGATATAAGTACTCACTTATGTAGGTAGGTACTTGGTAACAGAACCAGTTAGTAATGATTTTGATCTTGTGTTAGTTTCAACCGTTGTTTAAAGTGTGAAGTACACCGATCTATATTCTTATGTCTACAATGCTTTGAAATTTTCAAAATTCTCTGAGCAACGTTTTAATATCTGTTTAACCCCCTTAATCCAACAACTGGTGACGATACCAAAGAAGAAAACGTGCTAAAATCTTTTCTCAACAAAGTAATCAGACTAATTCGATAAAACAGAAACAGGGTCAAAGGAAATAATAATATTTTACTACCAAATGCCTCCGATGCATGATCATAAATAGACAGTAATCAATAATAATGAACGGTGTATATCCGAAATTGAGATATTTATTTGTTTTTTTTTTATACCTAAGCACAGATTATAGTCAATATCATTAACGAGTTACGTTCAATTTGATTTCTTAAATCACCAGAAAATTGTCGGATCGTAGAATATAACTTAAGTACCTACTCTATTTTTAATGGATGACAGTGGATTACTCTCGTTGACGCTGAATATCCAGATGTCAACGTTTGCTAACACAAAAGGTTTCTTTTTGCCAAAAATACAATCAACGCTTCAATTTTAACTTTCTAAGAAGCTCTCATTACCTACTTCCCCAGATTTTACTGCGATGGTTTCTGAACTTTTGCTGATAAAATATTACCGTCCTATAAAGAAATTAAGGATATATAGATCTTTATTGGAAGCAGGGACACGTGTTCTACCTACCCTTAACGACAATATAACGATGATGATGCATTTGGTTAGTAAGAATTTTAAAAAATGTGAATGTAATAAAATGTTTGCAAAAATGAAAGAACTTCAGAAAGAGCAGGAAGAATCCTTTATTGTAAACACGACTTAAATAGGTACTTACGTGAAATATTTGAGAGAAGCTCAACTACTTTCAAGTGACACTGGGGCTCTTGATCACGACCAGGGTGGACGTCTTATATTGTAACTTTAAGCAGTTACATAACAAAATATACCAAATTTGCCAGGTGCCATAATAGCATAGGTAGTACACATGGGACTGCTTCGGTCGCTTTCGTGTTAACTAACTGTTAAGGTTTAGTGCGAAATGCAATCAGCTAATGTAAGGGCATCATTAATACATCAATGTGTTGCATTATTTATTGCTATGTGCATTAAACTAAAACACATTATGAAATAGGTACCACAGTTATATTGTCAAGTAGTGCTATTTTAATTGCTTTAAAAAAGAAGTACCTTAACGAGGACCAGACTAAATACAAACTAAGTAAGTAGGTACACCAATCAAGTTAATCTTGTAAACAACTTTATAAGAAAACGATAAGTTAATTAAAATAGAGTAGCTTGATAGCTAAACTTACTTGAAAGGTTACCATCTGCTCTGATATTAAATATAAATCAGAGCAAACTCCAAGAAGTAATTAGGAAAACACCGGGGGAAAGAAAAGAGGTAAGTAAGTACGGGACAAACAAAGCAAACAGAAGTGAATAATTACAGAAATTAATTTTACTAGCTACTAGCTTCGACCAGCGGCTACGCCCGTGTTCCAGTAAGATAAAAAGTAGCCTATGTGTTATTCCGTTTCTCCTGATCCCTTCAGTTGTTTTTTTATACCACGACGGTGCCAAGAAAAGCGCACGGCCCATCTGATGGTAAGTGGTTACTGTGGCCTTTGAACGCTTGCAACACACAACAACATCACATTTTGAGGTGATGAGTATGAAACATACACACAAACAAACAATCTCACAAAATGTAATTGTAATAATAGTAAGATTCCCATAAAGTGTAAAAGAGGACTAAGCAAACCACACACTGCACCGGCCACAAACGTAGATGGTATTGTCCAAACCCGCAAACAAAACGTAACAGACATTATGCTCAATTGCCCACTATATGCGACCACTAAGATTAACAAGGTAGTCAAGACTGATAATTTTCTACACATTGATTACCTATACAATTTCTATTACTAAGCAAAAGATTTCTTTAATGCTTAGAGTTATAGTCATAGCTATGTTATTCTTAACATCCCTCTATTATTATATGACAATTGAAAAACAAAGGAATATAGTAAGTAAGTACTTATAATTAAAGACAAAGCTAAGTCTTGGTACCTAGCTAGTGTTCTGTGCTAGCTGTACTAGCTAAGTAGGTACTTCCGATACGAAGCCGCGGAGGACTTCACGGGTTGCCGGGACTTCAGCTCGAAGTGCTGTAGTAGGAACGGGGTGGTTTTTAGTCAGTTAGAGTCTGACACCTCTCGTCTCACCCGGGCGGGATAAGTAAATGGGTGACTTTCCCCCTCAAAAAAAATATTATTCATTATTATTATCAGCCATGATCGTCCCACCCACTGCAGGGCAAGGACCAGGGAGGTCCTTCCACTCTTCTCTATGGAAAGCTTTTTGCGGCCAATCCTTGTCATATATGTCCAATTCGTCCCGCCATCTGCTTTTACCAGCCCAGTTCCACTTTAAGCCTGCGGCTTTATGACCAATTTTGTTTAGTTAGTTATTAAGTCTAATATAACATTATAGGGAAATCCTTTTAGATTCAGCAGCAGAGCAATACCAAGTTTCTCACTGCCGATTTCAATAACCTATATTAAAGTAAAATCTCTGGATCAATCATGATTTTTTTTATTGGATAAGCCGGTAAACGAGCAGACGGATCACTTGATGGTAAGCAATCGGCGACGTCAATACAACCGAAACACCAGGGGCGTTACAAGTGCGTTACCGGCCTTTTGGGGATTAGGAATTTGAAGATTGTTGGAGATTCAGGGATTGGGGAAGGGGAGGGAGTGTGGTAATTGGGCCTCCGGCAACCTCACTCACACGACGAAACACAAGCGTTGTTTCACGTCGGTTGTCTGTGAGGCAACCAAGTCGAGCGGGCCCATTCGTGTCGATGCATGGCTCGCCCACACTTAAAGCATGATTGTTGATTGTTTACAGAAATTCTATAGGACTCATGTCAAAAATTAACCTTAATCTAAAGATGTTTTGGCAGTAAACAAATCAACTCATAATGCTTCGTTTCCGTCCTGACTATTAATAATTGATCATGTCTCATTTTCCGATTTGAATCCTATCTTAGGACTGTCTGAATTAAGTAAATTAAATTAAAACCCACAATAGTTACATTTCGTTTGACACATCGTTCTCTAATATAATATAATATGGTGGGCAGCCTACTTTAATGGAAACGAGATCGAATTTTGATCACTGATATTGCAGGTGAGGATACGGTAAGAAATGAAAATTACTTAATTAATTTATTTTTAAAATGCCCTCAAATTTTACTAAATAAGTAATATTAACTGACCAGACTGACTTATTTAAACGAAACTTAAGAATAGAAGGTAGAAAGAAATAAACAACATGAAACGAAGTATTTTTTCTAATACATACAAAAGTGTTTAGTGACAGACAATGCAATATTAGTTTTAGTTAAACAGACTGTAAATATATATTTTTAAGTGTATATGAATAAATAGTTCAAATTACAAAAAAAATGAGAATAATCATCGTGGTAGCTCATCAGAAAAGATACGATCATATAAGATGATACAGGATGGACGTAAAAATTATAATTGCAGTGTAAGTAAACGATATATTTTCTCTTATATGAATTCCACTGATAGGAATAACAAATTTTGTATGGCCGATATGCGATATTGATAGTTTAAGATTTGTTATGTTTTAAATAATAAACATCAGCCACTGCAGTTACCCTCTATTCTTTTAAGTTTAAGGAACCTTTACTTTAATAATTGTACGTGGAAATTAATTCAGAATCCTCTTTAGAGTCCTTCGTACTTAAAATTGAATTGGCAATGCTATGCTAGTGTATGTGTTAAATACTTACGCTTTTGAACTATATTAATTAATGTACTTATAGTTAATTTCGTGTTCTTTCTTTTTTTCTGAATTATAATATCTTGATGGAACTTGTTTATAGTGTAGACCATAATTGTGAAACTGATTGAAAAACGACATACCAGCATACAATTGCTTGCACATTTATCAATAGCAATGTGCAATTTGCAACGAGCAAACAGTTTCACTAAGGGACACTCACTATGTCTTTATTTAACTAAAAAACTATTGACTTTGACTTTGAAATGCTCAGATGGTTCACGCATGCATTGCATGATGAAGTGACTTTTGACGGTCAGAGGACGGTGGGGTTGTCAATCATACCATCAGAGCTATCATTCTGAGAAGGAAGATGACGTGGGTTGGTCATCTAATGATTATTCTCATGGACAAAGGGGAGCACATCTTTTGATTGGTCTGTCATCATCATTATATTCAAAATGCAGAATTCAGAATGAAGATTATGTGACTCTTTTGGATAGATATTTAAGTTCATATTGCTGTTGTGTTTCATTTAAAATTGCTATTGCTTGGCATCTAATTTACATTATGACTTGTGTATGCATTTGAGGACATAAAATAATCCAAAATTTCCGTACCGTATCGGATTTCAAGCCAGCACAAAAATTTGTAGGCCTAAAGAAAAGATTTTTGGTGTTGGGAATTGTCATTGGTCCTAGGACGATGCCTAGCGGAACACCCGTGATACACCTTAACAAGCGCATTTTATCTTCTTTTTTTAAATTAAATAAAATGATTTTTGAAATAATGATTGAGAAATTAAAAACAGGCGAAACAATAAATATTGGGGCAATACAAACAACTTTAAACAGGAGTTCTGTTTAATTATTAAACATAGGTATTAAAAAAGTTTGTCGTGCAAGGAAATGAGTTTTAAGTTCACTTTGCTGACATTTTTGATAAATTATGATAAAGCATCGTCCGTCAGTCGCGTGATGGACGAAAAGTACAACGACTCTGATAAAAGCGTTACCTATACAATACATTATATTAAGTAATTAGTTCTAATTTTAATATTTATAATATCAATTGGTTAATTAAGAAGTAACCGAGGTGGTGTGGTTGGCTGTTTCCACTGACCATTGCACTGCATGACTAATGAACTTGAGTTGTGTGCCCTGACTGTTAATAGATGAACAGTCATTTCTGCATAAAGCTCCTCATTGTTCGCTATAAAATCTTCCCTTAACTTGTGTATCTGTTGTTATGAATGGTGTATACCCAACTATTTATGAATAAAATGTGGTCACTGTACAATAATATTGTACAACCAGAAAAGTACAGCATGCCAAAACACTCCCTCCCCGTCGCGTCGCGGACCGAGCGCGGCCGAACCAGAATCGATGTCACACGAAGCCAGTTCGCTTGCAGTCCCGCTGACGGCTCCCTTCCATAATAATCTTGCTTCGCTTTCGCCACGCTGCGACCCAACGCCAGTCAACAGTCCACGTTATCACTGTGCGGCTACGTAAACACTACAATTGTGCATCATTTTTGAGAAACCCAACAAGATTTACCTGCCAAATACAGTTTTAATCGAGTTACAATGAACAAATTAAGATCCGGTGTGAAATAGAGACGGGACGAGGCAAGGCGAACGACGTTTTATTTTGGAACGCTGGACTAAAGATACGAAACTGTATAATTACTGTGTTACGTTTCCTGTGCGATGTTGGGGGAGAGTTTTGGTTAAAAAGTTGACATTAGACGTTTATTGGGACTTATTGCGAATGTGTATTGAAACGTTCATCGCTATTCACGGGCGCACTGCTATGCGCCACGATTTAGTGCATTTTATAAGACATACTTCTTCCGACCACTACTGCGAAGGAAGAATTTAGTCAACGATTCAGGTAAGAACGTTACTTCAGTTTTTATATAATAGATATGCTAATGGCTTAGCTGTACGCATTCTAGAACTTGTTTGGATACCGAAGCGATGTGGTAGAATTAACATATCGAAATAAGATAAACGCTTAAAACACAAGTACGTGTGTATAATGTGGTAACAGAACGAATGTAGCCGTCAGTCCCCGTCGTCGACGGTAAGTTGTAAGAAAAAACTCGGTTCACTTTTAAATTACACATGAATATGCACAAAAGCGGTTTTTAGAAAACAATTCCATTGAACAGCATGCAACTCGCTTACTCATACCTATAAGCGTATGAAACTGGAATCCAATTAAATTATAATTAAGGACAATGGCTGTTTAACGAGTCTGCGTTAACCGCATAGATTACGATGATATAAACAAACAAACAGGCGGTTATAACGCAAGCCACAAACAAAGGCGAATTAATATTCTTAACTCGTCAACCTTGTAAGTTCACGCTCTGCTTCACCTCTGAAGAAACGGTAATGTAAGCAGAAATTTAAAATAAAGGACGCCTACATAAATATACGAGGCAGCCTTCAACGAATATGTTAAAGAAATGTAGATAGATATTTTAAAATAGATGAAGAAACCGTCATAGCAACTGTAGTCAAGGATGATACAGGTCAAATTAAAGGTTAAGTAATAAAAAGAAGACTAAGAAATGCATTCGGTGTTAGTAATCAATCAATCAAGTTTGAAAATATATGCGTGGCTTTGGCTGGTGTTTAACAACTCTAATGAAAAAAACATAACAAAGACGAACTAATAAAAAATATCTATCTCTCATTTCATTTCACAGTAATAATAATTTATCTACTTACCTATGAAAAATCGATACTTAGGTATTCAATGAAAGTTCAAGGATCTTCTAAATCAGGCTGCCGTTTCGACAATATTTAAATATTATCTACGATGTACTTAAATATAAAAAAAAAATATTTATATGCCAGCCAGTTTAATACAAGCCAGTTTTAAATGGATATTTTGAAATTGTTGTATGTATCTTAATAAATTAATATTTTATCATCGCCAACTTATGCTGATAGGTGAATAAGAACACGGAATCAAGATTTCAAAATAAAAAGAAACACACCGGACTTGTCAGATTTTACACAACTTTATCTTGTGAAGAATCCGGTTGCACCTGACTACTATTAAAGGAATGATATAAAAGTCACTCAGCAAGCTTAGAAATTGGAATGTCATAGCTACGACATGACAAGTTATGTAATTAATAGATCAACTAATGGATATCTGTGCAATCATAGTTGCACCTGTTGCTATGGAAAGTTGTGAATAGATGCCAATTACGAAACATGTGATCGATGTGCAAGGAGATAAGAGAGTGAAACACAATCCTGCTAGAAAGTCTCTTTTAAAATATGAACAATCGTCGTCGACATTATACCAGCCACAACCACAAGACGTTTTCTGCTAGCCAGCAAGCAGCTACTTTTTCCTTTATCAGGTCGTCTATCTACTTTGTGAATGGATGTCCTGTGCTGCACTTACGGGTAAATGGACAATGGTTAATGGTAGCCAATTATAAAAACAAAATATTCTTAGGTTTCACTTTTTCACAATTTTTAGTAATAACACCGAGTCTAGAATCGTGCCTTGAGTATACTTTCGCACTCATAACTGCTGAAACATGAAAACACTTCTGCCTGCCCCATTGCAAAAGGAAAGACTTGTCCCCTACATCCAATCAATCCCTAGAAAGCTAAAAGAACCATTACATCAAAAAATGAAGTCAGAGCATGATAGATTCATTATCCGCTTAGATCACGATAAACTAGGAAGTGTGAACAAATTAGAACTAGCCTTATTTAATCATACAGGTTTTTGAATAATAAATGTATAGTTACCATAATATCATTAAGCTATGTTTTATGAGACAGTTATTTCTTGATCAAAGTTTTTATAGTACCTATTACTGAAGCGTGTAAAATCTTTTTAATTAATTAAGCATCTAGTTATTGTGTATAACGCGGATGCCCATGAGTGGCTCTTATCGCTTGCCATCAGATAATTCGTCCGTTTGTGTACCCCTTCTAATAATATTGACTGTGGTTTGAGAACCTTGTTTTAGTTTACTACTGAGATACTGAGATCCTTTTTGTAAGATCTCAGTAGTAAACAGTCGTAGCATGGAGTCTGGATTTGTGCCCGGTATACGGCAATAGGCTCACCCCCTATTACATGGGACTCATAACATAAATAGTGAAAAGTAGGTGTTACATTGTACAGTGGTATTAAGTGCCGTAATGTGCACCTCTGCCTATCCCTTCGGGGATAAAAGCCGTGATGTTATGTTTAGTTTAATGTTTTGTTGTAAAAAGAAATTAATTTCAGATTTCTAAAACTATTTGCGTTTTGTATTGTGGTTCAACCATAATGTTTAGTGCCATTTGATTGATGCCTCCGGGCTTGTGAATAAGAAATATTAAAATTGTAGCATTGTTTGTTTGTACACAAGCTACAAGGCAACAGAATTGGGGTCGATAGCCATCGAAACGGTCATAAAGTTGAGCATTGCTCGAAAAATAGAGCATTGGCATGTTTTACTATTCACTATTGAAATGTTTTCTACAAAATTACGCACGAACTCCCCTTTAGATGACCTACTGAGTTTAGTATTAATGAAAAACAAAGCACCTAAGTACACAAATTCAGCGAAATGCAATGTTAACTAAAAATACAGATGAGGAATTTGTAGCTTCTTCAGGTAGATTTGCAGCTATGTAAGTACCACACCTAAATGATAGATAATGTTCCGAAGATTTTGTACGAAAAATATATTATAAAGGTACGTAATGACTAAAATAGGAAAATGTCAATTAACTATTGAAATTGGGAATTTGAAACCTTTATTCATGTACTGAAAATGAGGAAAATAGCTATTATTGACTAGGTAACTATTGCTTAGGTAAGTCCTGGTCTACGTGACATTTAGACAGGAATAATAAAATAAAAAAATATTGAATGATGACTATATATTTTAAGTGCGCAATACCTATTGAAATGGGAAACCCAAGTGTAAGTAAAATTAATTTAAAAACATCATTCGAGCATTGCTATAAGTATTTTCTGTGGATTAAGGCATATCAAGGTTTTACCTAAACAAGTGTTAACTTAACAATATGTCATATTACCTACATATAAATTGTAAACAGACAATCATACCTACAACATTCCATTGGCTCATATAACATACAATATGAAGTTTCATTTGACCTAATGAGCAATAGTATCCGGTGTTATTTATAAACCATATTTAATTTCCAAAAAGATTTTACAAAAGCTTTCGATGTTGGTGACATGAGAATTTATATTATAGGCATGATGTCGCGGAGAACCTAACGGGTTACCGGGGCTCCGGCTCGAAATGCAGGAGAAAGAACGGGATGGTTCAGTTTAGTTTAGTCAATAAGAGTCTGACACTTTCTCCCGTCTCACCCAGGCGGGAGCAGACATTCGATGATTTTCCCCATTAAAAAAAAAGGCATGATGACGGGGTATGAAAATTAAAAATCTAAACAAAATATTAGACACGTACTTTTTAGTTTTGTCGTATAAAGCTAAAATACTGATATAAAACGAATAAACGTTTAGGAGTGGGGGCTAAACGTCATTTCTACGTATAAAACGTCTATAGAAGTCATGCGATGTTTCGTCGAAAGTAAACGTGTATATATATTTGTTTCTGTAAGAAAATAATAAATACGTGTCTTAATGTTATAAAATAATCTACAAGATGGACATTAAAAAAAAAATTATTATTAGGCGTGAAATCAAGACCACCATTACAAACTAAATGGGAAGCCAGAATTCTTAGATAACGTAAAGAAAAATCCCACAAATGATATGGTACACGACAAAAAACTTGGAAATAAATTCCTTTTTCAACAAACATATAACAGTCTTGTTTGAATCGGCGTTAAAAATTCAAGATTTGCACTACCTGACGTAAGGAGTGAAACGAGCTGCCTTGAAGATGGGACATGCATAAAATATTTACTTGGATATCTTAGTCGTGGACAGAATAATGAACAAGGAAAAGAAAGAAGTAAAATAAAAAGAAAGGGATAAGAAGACAGGAGTATAATTTACTAAGTATGCAAAGCTTTTGATTAAGAGATTGTCATAAGCAGAAGTATAGTAAGTCGATGAACACCCAGATAAAGTAAATGTTTATTTTGCTGAACTTGGAGTTTGTAATATAATTAGACACTTTCCTGATAAATATAATGAGACATGTGGAACCTATTATAATGCGGATACAGTTAGAAATGGAAAACATAAGACGGAGAAAGTAGTAAACACACATAAAATGGTGATAACGATTATATGAGTAGTGGAAAAATTCATATAAGTACTAGCTTCTGTTATTGGTTTCACTCGCATTCCCGTAGGAAAAAAGTGGCCTATATGTACTTTCAGACTATAATCTGTTCCTTTCAACTCACTCTCTTCATCCGTTTAGACGTGAAGGAGTAACAAAAAACAATCATATACAAACTATCGCATCTATAATGTTATTAATGTTAGTAGGATGAACATCTATAAACGAAAAGGTTTCTGAAATTTCATCATCATATCACTAATAAAGATTGTGCCGACCATTTTGTAAGAACCAGTTCGATTAATGATAAAAAAAGAAATAGTTACCTAAAACGAATATTTATAAGAAGAAGAAGCCAAAGTTTTTGTTGAATCTCTTTACTTTAGAACTAGTAAGAAACAGCATCAGTTACATCATAATTTTTATCTATCTGCTACAAGACTTTGTATTTATTTTACAACTTGGAGTATGCTCAATTGTCTTTTATATACCACTCAGAATGTTATTGAGTATATTTTTTAGGTAGGTATTAAAATTACTTTATCTATGACAAACCGCAAATTAAAAATATACACAAAGAAATCCGCTTGATAAGAAACACTATCAATATTGAAACAAGTAGTAAACGAATGAATGAATTGATAATTGAATGAATCTCGTAAAAGATTTGCTCATTTTTGTCAACTAAACTCTTTGGAACCCCAAAAGATTCGTTTCTAAATAAATTTTCTTTTTGTTCTAGATCGCTATTGATGGCGTTACTAAGCATCCAGGGGGACTGGTATTTATACATTTGGTTAATATACTGCAAAATCTATTCAGCTATTATATGGTTGTTCAGCAATCACTGCCGCGGGGCTGATAAGGTTCACTCAGTGATAACAAGTGGAGTTAGCGGACAGTCGCCTGGAGGCCTTCATAGAGTGCGCACGCGTCGCCGAAGAGCGCAACAGCAGCACCGCGTTAAACACATCGTTGCTTTAGCAAGGAGACCTTCTCTCAGAAGAATCGTGATGGCACCAGGAGCAAGCACCGCCCACACCATGATGGAGGACAAAGAGAAAATTCTCAACGGAGCTTTGGCAACTGGTGAGTTCATTGTTTTCTTAACCATTTTTAATACGTGTACGCTGTGAAGTATTCTTTTGTTTTTAAATTATTACTCTGCTGGTATTAACATGAAACATAGTGAGCGGTCAACTTAGATATTGTGAAGTCATGACATTGTTGTTCTGTAGTCAGGGACAGGCCTCCAACCGGCGACAGTTTCTATTTTCTATGCGTGCAAAAACTTCGGCATACATTTTTGTAACTGTATAAAAATTATCACCTAACCTCACTTTCAGTCAATAATTTACTTCATCAAAATCGATAATAGTTTTTCACCACTAGTCTGCAGATTTTTTATATAATTTTAATTGCATTGTGCTTTCATGCCCGGTGTAGGTTGCGACCATGCAAATTCTTTATCATAAATAACAAGCAGAAATAATGATATGAAAGTCTAAAAATAGAAGTTTAATACCTTTATGCTGTGAATGAATTGAACAGTGTGGTCGACTGATTGCTTCCTACTTAGTTGTCATCGGTAAGGTCAGTAACAAGATTAGTAACAAAAAACTTATAATAATATTATAAACATTGCCTTTACATCACGTACCAAAACGTATTAAAATGTTATAGGTAGGTCCTTGAAAAACCATACTACCGAACAAATTAATCAGCCTTCAATTTTACCCATATTTTTCCGCCTTCCTTTTGCACATTTACCTATAAATAAATATTCCTTTTTCACGAATTCATAAAATTAAATTAGTTCTATGATTTTTTCAAGCGTAAAATTGAAGTGACTGTTTCAGTCGGCATTGTTGATTCATGCTTCTAAATTGAAATTGTTTTTGATTATAAACTTTCCATACAAATATCTCATTCACCATGTGGATGAAATCAACTCAATAGGTAGATAAGCCATGCAAAACAGTTACAGTTAAAACGATAATGTTACTGTTATTATAATTTGAATACAATTTATTAATTAATAAATAAAACAAAAATTATGTTTACGTTGTCAAACTAGAGAACACAATGCTAATTAATATACAGCCACAGCCAACAAAGGTACGAAACGAAAACAACAAAAGTTCAAAAGCAATGTTTTGAATTTGGAATTCATAGTAAACTTCGTCAACAATCGTATTGTTGTGTACCGGTTACTTCATAACGTGCCAGTACTTTATTCAAACCGTTGTTTATAATCTAGACTTGGCATTAAAACTCCTTAGGCCACCTTGCTTCTTTTCTGAGTTTCCCTTGATGACATCATGGCAATTGCCCGAAGAACTGCTGCAGATTTTGATGGCAGACTGCCAGTAACATACGGTCTGGTCCGACAAAATTTTCGGAGAAACCATTGGATTGGACAGCTATATTTATCTATCCACGTTTAATCTGCGTGTTGGGCTTAAGTTAGTTATTAGATTTTTGCCATAAACACTATCTGTGTGATATGGTGTTAAGAGCAATCGATAGTTCCATCACATTAGTTTATGTATCACCGATAGCCATTCCGTGCTTGCTTTTTCAATATGATGTTGTAGTTAGCCCGAAGTTATTACAATTTACTTATATTGGGCTAATCGATATCAAAATTTAGCCAAATATCATTTTCATATTTATCCCAAGTACATAGTTAGATGAATTAGGCTCAATAAATTCCTTAGAATTGGTCATTCACGACTTGAGGTTTACACATTCCATTCAACAATCCCTCTGTTTGAAATCGACATGATTCATACCTTTTACTGTCGTCCACATAATGATGTTACTATTCTAGATAGTGTTACACGTCAGCTCCAAGGCAGGATGACCCCGTTGGCTCAAACACAAATCCATCAGCCAAGTGTCTAATGACTGATCTAAAAAAATTCGTGCAAAAAACGGATCCCTGTCACACTGACGAAAAAAGAGGTTTGATAACTGACATGTTTTTTTTTTCAATGCACTGTAGTTTTGAATTTCGAATGTAAGCATGTCAGTTATAAAAAGTTCCCGCTCAGCACGTCTTGGTCATGCTATGCTGTGTAGTACAACGGTCAATTGCCTCCGGCCATCACATCGTTGCCAGAAGTACTCAACTAAAAAGATACGTCTGAACTTTGGCCTACAGTATAATATCTTTCCATACTTTTAATAAGCAGGTATTAGGTATAATCTAGTTTTATCGGTATAACAATCGCAGTGTTAAGCATTCTTTAATGCTATTCTACGCCTTTCATATTAGATTTGGTCATAGTCCTTTTTACATTGCTGGTGCAAATTCTAGTTGATTATGTTATCTTTTAGAAATAAAACGTCATTATGGCACGATGCTTAATTTTACAACTTAAGCCAATCCAAGGGATTCCCTATTAACCCTAATCTGTGACTCAAATCATATCTCGACTGACACGTGTAAGTCTAACGTAACCTAAAGATCAATATTCACGGATGATGATCATATCGACAGTGGATGACGAGAAATAAAAACGATATTACATGTCATGGGTCTCCGACCTCTCAAAACTATCAAATAAATACACCAGATAAAAACCTTAACAATTTTTAAATAGTGTAACACATAATACGCACGTCTTCTAAACTAAAAATAATAGGTACACTCCAAATTATTTTTTTAAATTTTTTCTTCACCAATGACATTTGACATCAATTTTAAAACATGGGCGTTCGAACGCGTCAGTTAAAAAAAAAACAGCTAATCGCGCCACCTGACGTCAGCGCCACGCCTCCGATTAGACCCGTTCGCTTGGAAACAAACATTATTTTATAGCACGAACGTATTTAAAATTGGATGTGGCAAATAAAATATTATGCTATTTATATAAAATGTTATTATGCCTAAGTATAAATAATGATTTCCGTATGACCTTATCGATGACGGCAATTATGTACGCAGACAACCTAAAACTAAATAAAACAAAGTTTGCAATTACGTACATAACTCAGCAAGTAAAATACGAAACCCATATTATTTGATGACAACGATTTAATAACAAAATTATGCAATAAACAGCATTCTTTTTCTACGAAATAAGAACTTACCTACATAAATATCTTTAATACCATCTGTTACAAAATAATAATTTTGATTAATTGTAATATTAGATTCATGAGATAATTATAATAATGAATGTGTTTTTCATTGTTATCTGAACTCTGCTAATTTATCTGTGGGTGTGTTGCTATGTTCATTATCAAATGTGAACTCTTCGGTAACTGTTTACGAGACTTTAGTTAGTACAAAGACTATAAACTGTTCAACATATAGTACATGAGCATAACTTAGCAACGATAAAGATGTTTTTTATTTAAATACTGAATATTTTATCATAATAAAGGTACCTAATTATGCTTACATACATCTAATTTACTACGATTAATTATTTTATAGGCAATAAATATAAATAAATATTGTCGATAATTTAAATGAAAAACTCTTTATGTAAACTATCCTTCCGTGCAATATTTTTTTGCAATATATACTTACCTATTTCAAGAGTCATGCTTGTTAGCGATATGAGCGTCAATATATCTTCCGTCAGCATATAATTTAATACTAATAGATACAATCAATCGATTATTTTTTTATTTTTCCTGGGCCAAGTACCAAATATTACTGACGATCGTGACGCTAGTGAGACATTTGCGCACCTTCCCAGTTTACATAGATTGAGAGGAATATTTTAAGATTAGAGTTGATTATCCCAAATTTTGATCTAAAGAGTTTCTAATAATGGTGTGAGCACTGACTATAATAGGTACTTCAATCCTTCATTTTCGAAAATATGAAAGTCATTACTGTAAATAATCTACCATCTTTAAAAGTTCCTGTTTATTTTTCATTTGGCTTGAGAGTCTAAGAGTATTTTTATAATCTCAATATTGAAGTGTTTGCTCAATATGTATAATCTTTTGAGGGCATGTTGGTTCATCACATCTATACATATTTACTAGGTAGGGTACGCACGTACGGTAAGTATTACGAAACTGTCGAATCTGCTCACTATTCAATGGCGGGTGTGGACTGTATTTTTTTAGCATAGCAACACCTACACAAATACAAACTAAATACTATGGACGAATTTCTAAAATAGCATTATGGAAGTAGACTGAAGATTTGTTGTTAGATACGTAACTGTATTGGTCTAAATATCCAGAAAGACTTTTCAGTTTTGAGACTGGGCTTACAACATTTAAAATCTTTTCGTTATTGTCTGCCTATTAGAGAACCAAGCTATTATTTTGCTATTAAAACAAGATGTCTGTTCAATCAAACAATTTCATTTACTTATTTACAATATAAGATTGTTGTAATAAAAAGAAAAAAAAAATTAGGAACTTGCGTTTCTATAAAACACCTTTCGTGTACCATGTGTTTTTCTGATAAAAATATTTCCATAATATGAAATTCATTGCGTGCTGTACTAAAATATACTTTTTCTTGAAGTTCTCAAGGTATTTTATTGTTTGATAACTTCATCCGTACAAAAGGACCACTTTTTAATTAAACGCCAGTTGTTTTCCATTCGCTCCAGTTGGACATAAAGATAATAAAATAAATAATGTGTAAGTCACTCACTGCAAACTGTATCTATCTATCGTTATTATTAGCACAACATCTTGCTTGTTTTTTGCAATGTATTAAGCAGAAAAGTTAAGGTTCATAACTTCTAGTTAACCTGCAACGAAGAATTAATTTGAATTTAGTTCGCAAAAAATATTCGCAATTGTTAGAACTACTTTTTATTGCAACAAATAATTCTAATTACATTTTATAATTAGAAAATGATTTAGAATTTCATCAGAAGAAATATTAATTACTGATTTCATTACTCACTCATGAGATTTGTTTTCTTAAGTGGATAAAGTTGTTGTTTTTAAATCTAATCTGTGTACGTGTAAAAGGGGTCAGTCATAAGAAACGTCATCTGACCCGATGATGACTGTAAATCAATAAATATTATAAAGTTTCACGCATGCAGCGCGTGCACACGTCACTCATTCAATATGAACAATTATTACACTTATTTATGACTTCACGTTTAAATAAAGAAAACAAATAATACATTCATAAATATTTTCTTGTTTTACTTCGACCTAGGAATGCTATTTTCTCACGAACGTTTTAATGATTTAACTAGAGAAGCCTAGTCAGTTGGAGAGAAGCCATTACAATTTTCAATGACAATACTAAACTTGTAACTCAGCATCAGGTCTGCTAAAAGTAAAAATAATTTTGTTACTGGCTATGTAGAAACGTTTTGGAATGAATGCGTTTGAATTCATAATTCGAATCTCTATGACAACTGCTATTGACAACACTGGTGCATAATTTAGCTTAGCGTTCTAGAATATTCTGAAGGTCAAAGAAACATTTAAATACCATTTTTATTCTTTGCATACTTACGTAAATTATTAATCTTTTTAGTATCGCGTCAACATTTGCTCTTAGCCTATTAAGTACCTTACCTACATAATGATCATATTAAACAGCAACTTAAGTGAATATTATTTCTTTTATTTTTGAGCATTTTCTTCATCTTCTACATTCATCAATTTGTTTTAATTTAATTGAACACAATTTTATTAGAAGAAAATAGTTTTAATCAATTTTAAAACGCAACTGCTTGGTCTAACTTTATATCTAGTCTTCTAGTCTGACTTCTACTCTGACTTGTCTTCTAGACTGC